ATTATCTAATTGATTATTTAATTGACTAGCCTATTGGAGGGGGTCTAAACTAGTATATTCAATAGTATTAGTAGTATAAATAATAGTAATAAGTTATGTAATTAATGATAGTATAGTAATAAGAAATAGTTGTAGTATTGTTAGTAACTATTGACTATACTACAACTACTTAATTACTATTATTAATAATAACATTAGTAACATAAGTACTAGTGAAGTAGTAGTAGTAGTAGTACTCAGTAGTAATAGTATTAATAATAGTTTTTTTTATCAACAGCAGCAATAGAAGAGTATTTTTTGTGGTATTAGTAGTGGTAGAAGTATTATTAGCAATAGTAGTACTAGTAGAGTAAAGTAATGTTTTACTAGTGGTATTAGAAATAATATTAGTAACAATAACAATAGTACTAGTAGAATATCAATAGTGTTTTTAGTAGTAAAAGTAGTCCTAGTAACAATGCCAGTAAAAGTAGTAAAATCTATCGTCCCAAAAGTTCCAGTTCCCTCTTGTACAAGTATACAAAAATACCCCAAAATATCATAATGATCCTGCTTAATGAGACATAGGAAATAGTGACCATTAAAAACTATCCCCATGCTGTTGATGATGGCATTTTGTTCACAGCAGTCCACACATGTACGCACATAAGTACAAAACAAAATTTTCTCCATCCACACATTACAAAGGTCCAATTTGTATTCGGAAAATGAAAATGAATCCTGAATTAATTCTATTTTTCTACACTCAGCGGCAATGGTCCAAGGGGTCTTGACTCTCCTATAATATAGTCCATCGGTCAAGACAATTTGGATACGGTGGTTGTCAAAATCCTTTCATACATACGGGAAAATAAACGATATTCCTACACATTGCGGTAGACAATATTTCTATAATAGTCGAATATGTTTTGTAAATGCATGCGTGCGGCGGTAAATTTTCATCATACACCATATCCTGCATGTATACAATACAAACTTCTGTATTCCAGATGCAGAATTTTCATGAAAATGAAAGGAGTGGCTCGAGGAGTGTCATTAGCCGTCGGAAGTCCATGCGGCACCCTGTGGAGGGTTGAAAATTTGGTGTCGGGTAGTTAAAGCACGAGTGCATATTGAACTTAATGAATGGATCACTTAATGTTCGAATATGGTCGTCAAAAATTGGTCGAATTTTCCTTTTTTCGTTTTTCTTTGGTAAATTACAACATTTCTTTTGTTTATTCTCTACTTTTTTTTAAATAATTTTGTTGTTACTGTATGATTGTTTTAGATCCATCTGTTTGTGAATCTAACAATTTTTCATATAGTTTATCTATATTTTAGCTATTTTCAATAATTTTTATCTTCAAATTAACTATATTTTCAGATAAAACAGGAAGATTTTGAGACATTTGTCGAACATCCGTAAACGTCAGTTTCTGCATAATGATCCTAACAGAATGATTTTCGAGGAAAAAAATTGGTTCCATACAAGGGGACGGAAAATAAACGAAAAGAAATGGCAGACCTGAATGCTCAGAAATAAAAATTGTAGGCTAATTTTAGCCTAAAATTCGGCCTAATTCGATCTAATTTCTATCAAAATTTTTCTATTTAAGATATTTAAGAATACCTCATAATATACGACCTCTCAAGGACGGTTAACCGACGGCTTCGGCAGACGCGATATTGGCGAACGTCCCTCTATTAGTATAATGAACATCCTAATGAATACGAAATTTTTATTTAATTTTCAAATGGAGAATCTAAAGAGATATGAGTAAAGCATGTTTAAAAGTTTTCTATATAGAAATGTGTAATTAAAATGGTCGAAGTTATCGCATAAATTTATATTATGATCTTTTAATTAAGAATAAAAGGTAATGAAATAAAAGTATTTAGTTCGGAATTCCCAAACATCACACGAATTTTTAGCTGTATTAGCAGCAAATAATTATGATTATTAGCTTCTATGGAGTAAAAAATTTAAAACCTCTATAGCAGGATATCTGCTATTTTTATTATAATATAATTATGATTATTAGCTGCTACAACCAAAAAATTTTACACCTCTATAACAGGATTTGCTGCTATAGCCAAAAATTTTAAACCTTAGCACAATAGCTGCGATTTTTAGCTATAATGCTGGTAACGAATAATTATGGTTTTTAGCTGTTATAATAATCACAAAATTTGACTATGTGATGTTAGCTATACACAAAATATTAATAGTCACTAGAGATGTTAAAAATGGGTCTCAAAACCTATTTGAAATGCTAAATACTAAATGGTTTCTCAAAAAGTATTTCAAATATAAAATATAAATAAAAACTAGTTTTTAAAAAGTTATTTCAAATGCAAAATAGAAAATACGTATTTTTAAAATAGTTTTACAAAAATAAAAAGCTTTTCTTTAAATGAACTTTATTTTTATATAACTATTTGACATTTTCATAAAATAGGATTGTAGTTTAAATCAGAATATAATTTACAAAACACTAAAAATTTGAAAGCCTTTAAAAGCTCTCATGATCATGCCTCCAAAAGAGAAAAGTCAAAATGCTCTATTAAAAAAGCGAGCATGGTAACCCCTTCTGAAAATGTTTTATATTATTCTTTTAATTTGACTCTATACAATAAACTAATTTTTTGAAAAAATTGTTAGAAAACTTTGTCAGCAATTAAATAAAATGTTTCATTTTCAAATGCTTGATATGGAATCCTATAACTTTGAACCTAAAAAGTTCCATTTTAAGCATACAAAAATGAATATTTTCCCAAAGTTTGGTAAAATTTCAAAGAAAATAAATGTGGCGGAAATGAACCTCCTTAAAAGAAAAATTACTTCAATTTAAAAAAAGTTTTCTTGTATTTTGCATTTTCGAATACCAAAATAGCAAAAAAACCATTTCAAATCAAAATGCAAAATTGTTTTCGGCAAATGCATTTAAAATATAAACTGAAAATAGACATTTTGCATTTTCTATTTTGCATTTGAAATAGATTTATTTGAAATAGTTAACATAGTCACTAGCAGATTATCAAATCGAAAAGACGAAAATATTTTAGCATATTCTTTTAGTTCATTCCTTTCATTTCTCTGTGACATTTTACTAGTGACGTTATTAATATTTTCTAGCTAAAATCGAAAAACCCAAGTTTAATAATCTGTTTCTTAAAATTTAGGATAAAATTTTTTTTCCTTTGCATTGCTAATAATCTGGAAGATATAACTAATTTTTTTCTACAGCACTCTCTAAATTTTTATTAGTAAAAATGTTTACAAATTTGAATTAGTGACTTTTTGCTTTTGAATTAGTAAATTTTACCAATAAATTAGTAGAAATAACTATTTATTAGTAAACTTTACTATTCCAAGAGCAAAAAGTCAGTTACTATGTCAAATTATAGTAAACATTTTTACTAATTAAAATTTAGAGAGCAGCCAAAAACTATATATAATTTTATTAGCTGTCACAGCCAAAAATGTGGGATCCATAGCAGAATAGCTAATTTTTAGCTGGACAGCTTATTTTAGCTACATTGAAGCTGATACTTATTTGCTACCATACCTAAAAATATGGAAGCTACAGCCGGATAACTAAATTTTATCTGTACTGCAGCCACACTGTTAGCATAAAAGTATCAAAGTGCAACGAATTGACACTAAAAATGTGTATCAAGTTAAAAATTGATTCGGATTTTCGGCATCAATATGTTCTATTGTAGTATCAATTTTCTACTTTTAAGAAAACAGTGCAATAACTGTATAGTTTCATTAGCTGACATAGCTATAAAAATGTGGAACCCATAGCAGAATAGCTCATTTTTAGCTAGTCAGCTGACTTTTAGTTACGTGGCAGCTGATAATTTTGAGCTGCCAATAGCTAAAAATATAAAAGCTACAGTCGGATAGCTAACTTTTATAGCAACAACAGACAATAATAATAGTTTTATAAGCTACCATGACTAGAAATGTATAGTGGAACTTATAGCCAAATAGCTAATTTTTAGCTGGACAGTTGTTGTTAACTATTTAGTTAACAACTGTCCAGCTAAAAATTAACTATTTGGCTCTATGTTTCAAAATTTAATATGATCATTTAAAACAGGGAAAAACGATGTTTTTATGTTACTTAATCGTATGAACGTATCAACTATTATTATATTTTCATACTAAAGATTGGTACAGACCGTACTAATTTTTTGCATATTACTTTGTCAAAAGCTGATACGTTCGTACAATTAAATAACCTAAAAAAACCTTTTTCCCCTGTTTAAAATGAACCATATTAATGTTTAAAATGAGTTACATTAACTTTTGAAACAAAAAGTCTACGGCAGCCGATACTAATTGGGTGAAATAAAAAATCTGGAAGATATAGCAGATAGTACATTTTTACCTATACTGCAATCAATAACTATATTTAATTTTGTTATCCACCATAGCTAAAATGTGGAACCCATAACAGTACAGCTCACTTTTAGCTTTCTGGCATCCGATAATTATTATCCGTCTTGGGGCCAGTTTCACCATCTCCGATTAAAAGTTAATCAATGATTAAATCCTTAACCGACCAATCATGGGCGGTTAAAACGACTTTAATCATTGATTAACTTTTAATCGGAGTTGGTGAAACTGGTCCTTAGTTAAGAGTGTGAAAGATAAAACAGGACAGCTGACTTTTGCATAGAAAATTGTGGGGGATTATTTTAACACCAAAATGGATTAAAGCGTTGCAGGTCTGCAACGCTTTAATCTATTTTGGTGTTGAAATAACCCCCCACAATCTTTTGGGTATACTTTAACACCAAAATGGTATTAAAATAATACACTCCACAATTTTCTGTCTATAGCTACAGGATCCAATAAGAATAGTTTTTAGAAATGGCTATATAGAAATCCGGCTATAGTTGCGGATATATAATTTTTATCTGCGGACGGCTCATCTTCAAGCCAAAAATCAACCAAAATATCAACTAATTCTTCTCTTCATCAAAAATTAAAAGACAATTCTTACCTTGCTGACTACTCTTTCTCGTGGTCTTCTTCTCCTTCATCCACGGGTACTCGGGAACGTTGACACCCGAGGGATCCGCGACACCGTGTGGATCAATCATTGTATGATAACCGGGATGATGTCCTGCATTAGGACTCATTGGTCCAACAGCGCCTGGCGAATGCTGAAGAGGACCATCGCTCGACAATTGGGGCAATGCCGTCATAAATTCGGCCATTGATGGTTGACTATTGATGAAGCCAGTTTCGGCTGAGCCACAATTTGGGTCCATCACTGATGGATGGGCCCCGTGCGGGGGCAGAACGGCTCCAGCCCCGGCCCCCGCGGCCACCGAGGCCAGCCAGAAGCCACCACCCCCTCCGTCGTTCGCCAGGACGGGCGTCGGGGACCTCGTCTTCACTGATGCAATCGCCTTATCCCCAATTAGACCCTCAATTTGTTCCAAATGCTGCCGATAATGACCCTCCTCTTGATGAATCAATTGTTGTCCTCGCATCAATCGCAAAACGGGTGTCTTTCACAAATGTACCAAAAAGGGGGAATTTCTCCTCAAAATTCCTTGAAATAACCTTCCTTGAATCCTTTAACGTTCCTGAAAAATTACGTTAAAACTTCCTTTGCAGGTTTTTCTTCAATAGTCGTTACAATTTTTTAAAAATCCGCTTTGCGACTTCAATTGTCCTTTGAAATTTCTTTAAAATTCCCTTTGAGATTTCTTTGAGATTTCTTTAAAATTCCTTTTGATATTTCTTTGAAACTCCCTTTGAGAGTTTTTTCAAATATCCTTTGGAACTTCTTTGATATTCCCTTGGAGATTTCTTTGAAATTCCCTTTACGATTTTAAATATCCTTTGAAACTTATTTGATATTCCCTTTGAGATTTCTTTGATATTTCCTTTGAGATTTCTCTAGCATGTCCTTTCAAATTTCTTTAAAATCCCCTTTATTTCTTTGAAATCCCTTTTGCGATTCCTTTGAGATTTTTTCGAATATCATTTGAAATTTCTCTGATATTCCCTTTGGGGTTTCTTCGAAATTCCTTTTGCAAAATTACTTTAAAATTCCCTTTGAAATTTCCTTGGAATATGCTTTGAAATTTCTTTAAAATTTCCTTTGAGATTTCTTTAAAATTCCTTTGGGATTTCTTTAAAATTCCTTTTGAGATTTCTTTAAAATTCCTTTTGAGATTTCCTTAAAGTTCCTTTTGGAGATTTCTTGGAATTTTCTTTAAAATTCCCTCTGAAGGTTCCTTAAAATTCCCTTTGAAACCTTTTTAAAATTTTCCTTTATTAATATCAACCTTTGGAATAGGATTTGAACCACTGGACTATTAAAAAATTAAGGGAAGACAACCAGTCCCCTAATTGTCTCAACTCGATTGTTTAGATACTGAGCACACCGAATTGGTTCCAAACTATTGCAAACGGGACAATAATTGATCCTTGCACTATTTATCATCACTATATTCAATCACTAATTGCGAACATTAATTATCCAGATTAAAATTCACACAATTCACTGAAAAACACTATTTTTCCACGAGTGAATTTTCATTTACAATTTGCAAAGAAATATTCACAACAATTGTCGAGCTTGTACTGTTCCGATCGAACGGAATCGAGTGGCGAAATGAAGGAGAGATGAAGAAAGAGCAAAAAGAAGAAATGAAGAAAGAGAGAGAGAGAGATAAAGAGATGAAGCGAGAGAAAGAGAGTGAGAGAGGGTGGAGAGAGAGAGAGAGAGAGAGAGGATGGTTATACTTTGAAATCCCACACGATCTTTTTCACTTCTCTCCAAAAACGTTCTTCGTGGCGTGTCTCTGTTGTTACTACTGTCTCCTTTTCTTTGGACACCAGTAAAAGGAGGAAGCGGGCACTCACTTTGGTGAGGATCACGTGACATTGGGTGCGGACCAATGGCAATACGGTAACGGGCCCGTTGAGCTCAACCCTCTTTTAACGTAGGCGGGCTATTGGCATCATGTTGGAGGGCATAAACGGGCTTGAAAGAACGTAGGTCCGGACTGCGGCAGTGCATATAACCGACTCTTGTGCAGCGGAGCACGAGGCACCCAAGGGCGGCCGCGAACATTGACGCACCGTGGGCGGTACGCGCTGGCGCGTATTTCTTCTCCCTTTAAGGTGGAGGGGGCCAATGTCACGTGCTCGACCACGAGGTTTTACAGGTATACTCTTTGAAACTTTCATCTCATGGATAAAGATGAACGAATACATTCTTATCGTTGGAGGTAGAGAGAGAGAGATAGGCAGGAATCCATTTACCGAATCGAATATGTTTATTGAAAGAGAAAAGTGATTCTCCATGGGGGCTTGCGAGTTGTTTTCAATAGTAGGCTTTTCTAAAAGTCGCTTAATAGTTCTTAGTGTCTTACAAAAGTAACACTATGGAAGTGTTAATCGCTGATTTCTTTAAAAATTAGGGGTCAAATGTCTTTAAAGGTACTATCTGTTCCTTAACAAATTTTTGAACCTACTTTTTTGTTTTTCCTCAAAAATGGTCTTACTCCCCTAAAACCTTTAACCCCCCCCCTTCCATTCTCAAACACCCTAATTTGTTAGAGACCTTCACATTTAATAAAAAAACTAATAATTTCTTTTAAATTCGTCCGCTATACATTAGGATGACTCTATTTTGTATTTTTAAAATCTTACTTTAGATTCATAATCGCAGTGACCCTGAAAACAAATAACAAAGTTTGAGATAAAATAATTTTTTTAAATTCTTCCGCCATATTGGAATCGCCATTTTGAATTTTTAAAAAATGACTTTAAATTCGTAATCAACGACCTGAAAAACTTCTATAGACACCCTGTTTGATCGACACTTGAAATTTGAGCTTTCATATAGTATTTTGGGACACAAATTTTGATAAATATATGTATCTGAACCTTAAGTAATTTTTCAAATTGATTAATATATGCGAACTTTAGTTTTGCTCAAAGTTTGATTCGATTTTTGAAGCTTCTATACAAAGTTTAAAAGGTTATTAAGCTTATAAACGGATTTGAATATTATAGGTGCAAATAATGCTTCAAAATATATTTAAGACGCAAACTTTGATTTTTGTACACTGAAAGCTTGGACAATTTCTGAGCAGTGATTAACATAATATAAGCTACTATAAAGGTTTGAGCAAAATTTGATTCGAAAGAGAGTTTTTTGAAGCTTAAAAAATTGAAGAATGTGCCTTCAAACCTGACTTTGAGTTTTAAGATCAGATGAGCGTTTTTATAAGTATATGTTTAGAAGTTCAGAACTCAAACTTTGATTTTTATACCTGAAAGCTTGAGCAATTTTTGAGCTTGAGTTTCGATCAAAATTTATTCTTGGGCAAATGTTGAAGTTTAAAAAAATTTAAGAATGCCTTTAAGTTTTAACCAACTTTGAGTTTTAGGTTCAAATAAGCCCTAAAGTTTATATTCAGAATTCAAACTTTGATTTTTCTATACCTAAAAGCATGAGCAATTTTTGAGCAATTATTAATCTATGAGCTTTCATTGAAAACTTGATTCATAAATAATTTTTGAAGCTTAAACAATAACTTCAAGAATATTTCTTCAGGCTTTAACCGATTTTGAGTCTTAAAATCAAATAAGCCTCAAAGCACGGTTTAGAACATAAACATAAACTAAATATACTTTAGAAGCTTAATCAATAATGTTTGAGCTTTGGTCAACACTGTAAAAAATAAGTCTTGCTTTAAGCTATTGATTTTGGCTGAAACAACTAAACATTAGTCCAATTATTGACTAAATTTCTCATTCGAAAACTGATTTTAAGACCTAAACTTGTTTCATTATTATTTTAAAGTTTAAACCAGAAAATGGGTTGAATTCAAAACCCGTTTTTGAGTTTTATGATTAAACAAACTATGAAGTAAATTTGTAGGAATCAAACTTTGATCTTCATATATCTGGAAACTTATTGAGTAACTTTGAGAAGTAATTAACAAAATAAGCTTTAATCGCAAGCCTTGAATCATGTGAGATTTTTAAAATCTTCAACAAATTTTATCAACGCTTTTGAGCTTAATTTGACTTTAAGACATTTTGAGCCGTGAATTATATATAAAATATAAATATTATGATTAAACTCCGAATCGTGAGTGATGTTTGAAGTTTCAACTCATAAGCTTTGATAAATTTTTGAATTTTACGAATAACTTTTGAGCAGTGATTAAAAAATAAGCTTTAATCATACCTTAAATCAGGAATAATCTTTGAAGCTTGGTCAAATTTTGAGAATAGTTTTGATCTTGAATCGACTTTGAGTCTTCAGAGTAAAACCTCAAATTATATTTTATACTTTTTTAGATTTTGAAAAATTTTGAGAATATTAGTTTTCATCTTGAATCGACTTTGAGTCTTGAGAGTAAAGTCTCAAATTATATTTTATACTTAAACTTTGAACTATTTACCCGAATGTTCATCAATTTTTGAACATTGATTATAAAATGAGCTATAATTAAACCTAAAATTCTGAGGGCTTTTTAAATTTCGAACAAATTTAAAGAAATCTTTCAAGGCTAAATCGACTCTGAGTGCAAAAATTACAGCTTCAGGCTATATATATATGTTTAGAACTCAATCTTTTAATGGATTTGAAGCTCTCGCAACTTTGATCCAGTCTTAAGATCAAAGCCTTAAACTTAAAACTTGATTTTAGAATTTTAACTCTTTTTAAATAACTTCAAAATATTAATGATTCCTTTGTTGATCTTTAAAATATTGAAAGGATTTTTGAGCAGTTTTTAAATTTTGAAGAAGTTTAAATTGATCCTTGAAATTTATTAAACTATGGAGTTATGGACTTCATGGACATTAAAGCATGAAAGGTCCAATAATCCTTTCAGCTCCGAATGTTTTTGAGATCACTCAAAGTTTCCTATATAGATTTTTTTAAGCCATCAGGTCAAAAAGAGTTTGAGGCTTAAAATTAATTAAGGCATGAGCCTTGAAAAATAATTTTGTTCACTTTTCAGTTTCGTAAACGATTTCGAGTCTGTAAATATTAATTTAAGGTCAGAACTTTGTTTCAGATTTCAGGCCACTTGACCTTAAGATTCTTAAAATTTATTCACACTTTTTATTTCGTTTCAGGTTAAGCTCAAACGTGAGCTTGGAAACTGATTGAAACAAGAAGTTTAATGGGGCTTTCAGCTGTAGATTATCCTAAAATTATAATCAAAGTTTGAGCCTCCAAAATCTTTATTTGAGCTTTTAGGTTCGTTCCCTTTCTATAGTCTTGAATCAAGATTCAGACTTAAATTTTGAGTTTTCTCGTAGTTTTCTTGAAACTATCAAATTGATACCAATGTGGATCAATTTGATGCCAAAAATTAATTTATTTATTTATTTAAAAATAAAATGATTTGATCCACATTTTTGGTATCAATTCTTTACTATATTTGATACTTTCAAGTTAACAGTGATTTTGTATATAGTTAGGCTCAATACTTTAAGTTTTTATCTATATAATTAATTATTAGTAACAATAAGCCAAATATAAATTTTTATAAATATAAATAACAAATAAAGTAAATATAAACCCTGAACCTCAATCATTCTCGTTGATTTTTGTCCCCCAATTTTCATCGACTTTTGAGCTTTAAATCTACTACTCCTATATACTTGTTGTCAATTCGGATTTAATGAGCCTCATTTATAGCCTCATTAAATTCGAGTATAAAACCACTAATTGAACCACTCATCATTTAATGTCAATTTTGCCCATTCGAATGCCCATGTAAATAGAGAAGTTAATTTTCTTAATATTTAAAATTTTTAAATAATCAATTTTAATCATTTCTGCAAATATGAAAATTAATATTTCTTTTTGGACTATATAAAAAAACAAGTGTCTATGTATGTGTATCTTTATAAAACAGAAGGCTTATTTTGAAACAGTTTTGTATGCCCAGAAAGCAAGCGTATGTTGTATTAACGGTCGGAACTGCTGTGGGCGCCGGCTGTTGTAACGGAGACACGACGGGACAAAACGTGCGGCAGTTTTGATGACAGATTACTCTGATTCGCTTTGTGGTGGGCTCTCATTTGAACGGTAAATTTGATTGAAAAGTTTACCGCGAGCTGAAAAAAAAACTTTCGTTCCACGTTCTTCGTTAAAAAACTTTCATGCGGATAGAAAAAAAAAGAAATGATTTTCGTTTCATATTATATTTAATAGTTTTAAATAAATAATTCAAGACAAAAAAAAAGTGATTTAAAGAAGTTAATTTAACAAGAATTTGAAAAGTTTCTCTTTAGTAAATTAAGAATTAATAAAGGTAAACCTTGTGGATTTTTTAATTAGTATTTTAATTTTATATTTTGTTAGTTAGTATTTTAAATAGCACAATTTTCCTAAGGATATCAAATTGAGACAAAATACGAATCAAAATGTTGCTTCGCAACACTTTCGATTCGTTTTTTGTCTCAATTTGATCTCCTTAGAAAAACTGTTTGGTACTTGTAAAATCCATTTTGTTTCATTACTTTTTATTAATTTTTATTATAGAATTTATTCATTTACTTTTGTCTTTAATTTTTACACATCAAAAGAATTTCTGATGGATTTTTTATTCGTGTTTCTATTTTATATGCGCGAACGGGACGAAATTAACCGTGACGCGCAGGCGCAAGCGCCGGAGTGGGGCAATGGGACCGAGAGAGAAATCTCAATCATTCTTTCTCGCTCTCATTCTCCCCACTCTTTGACAATCCTTCGTCTCTTCTTTCTCGCAGGGTTGCCACGCAACCTGGAAATGTCATGGAATTGAAATCTAACTTTACTTAAATATTTCAAAATTAATTGAATTTTAAAAGAGTTGCGTAATTACAATTTTCATAAAAAGATGAACCTTAAAAGGATTTAATTTGAAATTTTAGAAAATTTTAATTTTTAATAAATGGATTAAATAATAAAAATTTCACAGGAATTCTGTTATTTACAAAATTTTTATA